TACCATTCCAAAAGCCAAGCGGCCAGACGACTCGAGTCTGAGAAAGTTAAATAGCGCCCTCCATTCATATTTCCTTAACTTAAAAAAGATCAGAAGTTTGCCCATCACAGGTACGTACAGTGTACGTGCACACACTCATTGCGTTTTACGAGACAGTAAGTGGTGCCGCTGCTTGTGAGCGTCGCTCGTTTGCACGCATATTGGCACTGCAAGTGCATTATTGTGGTGGTGCACGTAGGAAAATGAGTCTCTGCACTTAGCTGAGCCAACTGACCGAGTTTCCCTACCGAGTTTTCTTTCAAGGTAAGGAAGTGTAGTTTTTTCACTGTACACATGACAGCCATTACACTTTTCATCGTATAAACTTTGCAAACTTGTCTCTGTTCTTTGAGAAAGAGACGAGGAATTTGTTTTCGAGAGAGCTGTGCCGCACTAGTGGCCGTGGCCCCGCACTGGAGTAGAATGCCGAGAGGCAAAGCGCAAGGGTGGAATGTCTGCCCAGCAGTTGCCTTATTGGCCGTTGTAGAAATGGCCAATTCTGCCGGAATAGCCACTTCAGTCTCGGCCCTTGTTGAAAAGTCCGATAATACGTGTGCAGAAGCTTTTCTGTGATTTCAATTTAAGACTCCCCAGATTACATATCTGGAGATCATTCTCGCCGTTGCCTAGGCGTATAAACATTTAAGAACAAGGAAGGGTATCAAGAAAAAAAATGGGATTAGTTACAATTTTTAAGCATCATAAATTTCAAGTGTGTGATTAACTCCTTACCTTAGTTTCTATTTTAAAAATTGGACAATGAAACATGAGTCAGTTTGTATTCTGTTCTGTGTACATCATTAATCAACGGGTATTGGTAAAACTTACTTGAGAATCCTGTTCCTATGTAACAATGCATTAGAAAATGTAGTTCATCATTTTACCACATCTTCAATTAGTAAAAAGTTATCGTTTTCCCTCAAATCCTTCACAAAATGATTGAAAAAGTGCCATTATACGAACAAGACCACAAAGATCATTTGTGCACTGCTAGTGAGTGCTACACTGCAAGAAATTAAAAAAACAACCAGAAAAGTACAGGGATCCTATAATAATCCTAGGAAATATTTAAATGAATTCAAATCCTGTGCCTTGAATTTCTAAGAAATAAATATTTCATTGTGCTATCAGTTTTTAAAACTGATTGTAACTTCAGATTTTTTGTACATCCCACTTGTTGCAACAAGTTATGCACACAAACTAACCTCCCCATTTTACATTTAAAAAGAGGTTGCTAATTATTAATTTTTTTATTGTCACATAATCTAAAATAAAATAGGCTACAACTGACATGCTCTTCCATTTTTCACTGATTTGTACAATTTCTGGTTCAGGTCTGAATTTCTCTGAGGATGATGCTGTTGAGACTAGCTTATCACAAATCAAGGGAAGTGTAAAAGAAACAGCAGCTCCAAGATGGCCTTGGCACATACAGTAGGCCTGATTGTGTCCTTGTTAGTTTCAACAGCAGTTTCAACAGGGAGGCAATCGGTCAATCAGGATGCTTTTGGAATTAGTGAGTAGTGACTATGCTTAAAGTGAGAATGTATAATTGGGGATTTAAACCTTCTTGATAAGACATTACTTTTTTACCAGTGTCAGTCATATGGTAAATTATGTTGTTGATAAAGATATTAATTTAAGGATGGTTGTCTTCATCTTGAATGCAGAAAAAGATGCACAAATAAATCAGACTCACTCTTCTGCGAAGAAATTCCCCCAAAGTCGTATACAGCTTCCCCTTTATTGCTTATTTACCTTGCCTATGACATCACAACCTGCACCATCTTAGTATTGCTGAAAACATTAGATGGATCAGGATTGCAAGACTCAAAGACTCCAGACAACCCAGAAAATTCAACTTTTAGGACAGGGACAAGCTACAAAAATGGAACGAGCTCACTAGAATTAGCTGTGTTGGTCAACACCTGTTGGGCTACAAATGGAAAACTTCCTGCTTGACAGGAGCCGCATGGCTTTGTCTCTTTCTGCATGATTTAGTACCACATTACCTAGTTTAATTCAATACATTTATTCATTCATTGAGCTTTAGCTACTTGTAGGAAAAAAAAGACTTGTTGGTAGACTATTGCATTGTTTAAAACATGTTAACATAATTTGGAACCCTGTGCCTCTTGATATAGGTTTTTTTACACGTTAACATAAATTTTGGCACCTGCTATGGCCCTGTTACATCTTGGTTTAAATTTTTCACGAGCCCCTCCAAAGAAGTAGTGATAGGGTCAGTCCCAAATCTCTCCAATTCAAGGAGACCCAGATATTGTTAGTATTTAAAGGGTCAGGGTTCATCTGACAAAAGGCCAAGTTGGTTGACAATCCGTATAAACCATACATATGTACTGTACTGAAGATTACACAAAGACACACCGACAGCACAGGCCTAGAAGTTAGAAAGCATTCACCCAATGAGTGCATTTGTAAGGCGTTTGCTCAGCCACAGCTTAAGTAACTCTTCAAACAAGATCTTCTCAAGTAAATTTGCAATGAGCTTTGGGTATCATTGGCTTTTCCTTAACCTTAAAAGAGCTTGTTAGTCTGGAATATCTCACATCCAGGAGGTGTGGATTCTACTCCTCCCTAATAAATCAGCTGTCTCATGCCGATCTATGATGTGCACATAAAGACTCTTACTCTCAATACAAATGTAAAGTTTCAACTCATTCAAGTTTTTTTTTTGTTGTTATGACCAATTGAAGTCAAAGGGCCACGACAGTGTTGGCTTCTGTGCGTGTGCATGGGGCACATCAAAGGAAAAAGTATTTTTGGACTTGCGTGTCTAGGGAAAATGGGCCCTGTGTGAGAACAGTGTCTCCAACTTTTTAAATAAAACTTTGAAGGCTTGGCACGTGAAAAAAAAAGAAGCAATATGATGATATCGGAAAAATGTTCAGCACAACAGAAAATTTCACCAGTTGATTCATGCGGTAGTGTTAGGTGCTCTTAACATTGTTGAAGGGATTAGTATATTTGGCGCACCAAAAATTTAATTGTGAAACTCAAGGTCTGCTTTTCTCTCTCACCACACTGCCTTCATCGATCCTTGCTAAAGTTGAATGATACATGTACACATATTTTAAGGAATATCATTCAGCTTTGGAATTCAGTGTTTTTTTGTAGGGTTAACTATTTCTTTTTTTTTGTTTTGTAGATATGCTGCAAGTTTTCCAAAGCAGGGAAGCAATTAAAGGAGTTTCCAATACGTCGGGTTCACACATTGGAACAACTTCATACAGAGTTCGTCCTTCAGTTCCAACACTCACATTGCCCAATGGTGCAGTGCAAGAACTAAGCAATCACGACAGCACTGCTTTGAGTCTAGTCATCATAGCCAAACAAGTGTACGAGAGTGCAGGGACGCTCTTAACAATATCAACGTCGGACAACAGTCCCTTGCTCATGCTCAGTTCAAACCTGAGAACAGGCATATTGCGGCTGAAATACCGTACCCTCAACGGGAATGCCCTGAGAGAAGTGTTAACCTCATCCCCTTTTATTGAGACAGACCTACAGGAATGGGCACAAGTTGGAATCGTGCTGTTGGGCACAAGGATGAAGATTTATGAAGGGTGCAAGAGGATGAGGGAAGTGGTGCTGGACGAGGGCGCTATTAATTTGAGCCTCCCAGAGGAACCAATTGTCTATGTTTTACAGGGGTTGAAGGGCAAGAACAAATTCAGTGTAAGTATATGTATGTATATATATATAGGGTGTCCACATAAAAAGTATACAGAGATAAAAATTACTGTAATAGCAAAACTACTTTATTTATGGGAAAGAGAAATATATCTCTAGAAAGGGCAGAATGTCCTCTTTGCAATGGTATACGGCTTGTGATGTTATTGACACAGATGAGTGAACAAACTAGACTGGTGTTAAGGGTACTGAAATTGGCACTGTGACAAGTTTGCATATGTTATTAACAAGGGTAGACCATGCAAGTGTGCAGAATAACAAATGCCTTTGCTTTAAGAACGCATTTTTGAAAACAAGGAATGTACCTAAATCAATCTTATCTGCTTTGTTTTCGATACTTACCTCATCAGTATAATGTGCTAAGTCCCCCACGTGGCCACCATTCCCATCAATGCACATTTGACATCTTCGAAACATGCTCCTTACTGCTCGTCTGATCATTCCAAGGTCTTGACCGAGATTATTGACATCTTCCTCTATTCTTCCACGTTAACTCCTGAACATTAGCTGAGGGTGTAGTGAAAATTTGGTTCTGTAGGTAATGCCATAATTAAAGGAAATCGCCTTCACCCCACATGCTGACTTTTGTTATCAGTATGCAACTTCTCACAGTTCTTAAAGCAAAGGCATGTGGTATTCTGCACACTTGCATGGTCTAGCCTTGTTAATCACATATGCAAACTTGTCACAGTGCCGATTTCAGTACCTTTAACACCGGTCTAGTTTGTTCACTCATCTGTGTCAATAACATCACAAGCCGTATACCATTGCAAAGAGGACATTCTGCCCTTTCTAGAGATATATTTCTCTTTCCCATAAATAAAGTAGTTTTGCTATTACAGTAATTTTTATCTCGGTATACTTTTTATGTGGACACCCTGTATATTTTTCTGTCTTGCTGTGCATAGCCAAAAGAACTACATGCATACGCATGTCAACCAAAGTACTAGCTCAACCAAAGAACTTAGTGGATGACCACTGGCATTTTGTGCAAAATGCACTCCAAATTGTTAAAAACGTGTAGCTCCATGGAGCTGGGATCAAATCTTTTGTGAAGAGGTAGTGTAGAAAAGTGCTGGTCAATTTTTGACAGATTTCTTATCCAAATACACAAATCTTTTATATATGTATTTAAATCAAATTAATCAGTTATTGTTGAACTTGACTACAATTTAATTCTGTCACTCAAAGCAATCCATATTTGTATACCAATCTTCATTAGAAAAGCATATATTCCCTGCATCTTCATTTTTTCCCAACTTAATTGCATCTTCGTCTGCATAGCATCCATGCTATGTGGGCCTTTTAATCTACGTAAATAGAGCAAGATACAGCTTCCATCAAAATATTGTCAAAACAGTGGTATTTGTTTTGAATATAAAGAATAAAATCATTGACGTGTGTGCATCTCTTAGTCTACATTGTAATTACATATGCATATATCTTCCAGCTTCCTTGATATGTCTTGTAAATTACCAGCATAAAAATCACTTAATAAATTGCAGAATTAAACTTTGCCATCAAAATATTTCTTATTTTAATATTTTCTTTCAAAGGAGACAGCAAGATACCTGTGAAAAAACTTTGGCAGGTAGAAGTTAAAGTTTGTGACTTCTGTCAATACACAGTTAAATATCATTAAAATTCTGACCTCAATTAACAATTTCTTCTTGGACAACAAAAAGCCATTTACATGCGCATAGACTTATTTTTGTCTTAGCTACCACAGGGGAAAAAACAAAGCAAAGCAAGAGTAATCATGGTTATCAGTTTTTCATTATTGATATTTAATTGATAAGTCAATGTTTGCACTATTTTCTCATGGGACCACCCTGAATTCTGTGACCCTTTATTGTGCCTGTAGGGGACCTCAGCCACCTAGAACCAAGGCCCTCTTAAGAAAATAAACAAAGACAGCCCTATATTCAGTGAAACCTAGCAGCTTCACTATAAAAAGGGAGCCGTGATCTTCACCTGCTTTTATTAAACCAAGGATCTCTCCATCACACTAGAGTAGACTTTGCTGCCAGAAGTCCCTTTCTCTGTTGTACTTTTTTGCCATGCAAGAAGGGTCAGACCTTTGGTTGTGTCCCAAACAAATGATGCCAACTGCAAGTGTGTATTAGCTTACTTGCTCTATTGCAGCTACATTTATGTATGTACAAGCCAAGAACAAGGAAACAGTCCCACTGAATGTGTACATCTTCTGCTGTAATCTTTTTCTGTCATGATCTGCTCTGTAAAATGAGTCACATACTCATTAATTTTATCATCCACTGAAGAGATGGTTCTTGACGTCAGATGTTTTGACATTTGAAATTTTGACAAGCAATGATAGCTTAGAGGCATTTTTGGAGAAAATGATCTTCACAAACCTACCATTTTCTCACTTGACTGAACTTAAGTTCCCACTGAATTTCTTTTTTTAGGACATGCTCCATGTATGACATAAGACACCCGAAATGAATTGAATGAAATCGTGCAAGAGGGCAAAATGAGCTGGCTTGGTATAGCCTCAGCTTTTGAATGCTATCCACCCTATTCAACTCTGTTCACATTTTACTTCAAGACTCAACACTTTTCATGCTGAATTGATGTCTACTTTCAGGGTTGGATTGAAGATTTCTGGCTGTATCCCTCGGAACTAACTCAGATGCCATGGACCTGCCCTATCACTGAAGGTAGTTAAAATCATTCAAACAGATGAGATACATGTAATTTTGTAGCTGACTGTGACACATTTTCTTACATTTCAATTTAATTTTTCTTCTCAGGGAGGTAAGACACTCTGCGTAAAGATAATATAAAAGAGGAATTAACAGCATACCAACATAAAAAACAGAGAGCATGAATATGACAGCATCTAAAAGGATTGTGAAAATGTGAACTAAACCACACAGTTGATTGGATAATAGGATAATAAATTATAAGTAGGATAATAAAAATTTCAAATTTATGTTGCGTCAAAAATATATGTGGATTATGAGAACAGTACTACAAAATTACTAATTGAACATGTTCAAATTAAGATATAAAAATCATTGAGAACACAACTTATTTTAAGATATTAGTAATATTATTATCAACAACACAGTGGTTTTATAAAAAAATATAATATGAGCCTGTGTAATACATATTATGCAGTTTATGGTATGAAATTTACTGATCATTTTCATATGCAATGTGTATAAAAGTACAGTAAGTACACATGTATGCAATTTCTACTCCAAGTGGTGACTGGTCCATACATTTACATCCTAGATGTGTGACACATACTAGGTGTGTCCAGAACTAACTTCCAAATCCCAGACATAATGAATTGAAGTGTAATTCAAGGGGTTTTCCTGAATAGCTGAATGCATAGATGCATTTAACCTGGAATACAGAGGAATAAGGGGACATTGTATTTTACCAGTGTTGGACAAGGACCAGCAATGATTTGGCCCCCCCAAAAAAGAACAACAAAACATATTGGCAGACCCTCCAAAAAATGTTTGGAATTAAAAAGGGAAAAATGCATGTATTACATGCATTTATATTATTTTATATTATTTAGAATAGGAATGAAGGGGTAGGCAGTGCTGTGGCTCACATCAAAATAATTTAACTGTTTTGTAGTCATGTTTGATGCGAGTTGATAGCTTTGCAAACTTCTGTTTTTATAGGGGTGTTTGTAAAGGAAGCCAGTATTTTCATTGCACTCAGCATTGGGTTGACAAAGAGTTTGTGCAAGGTTTGTCATAGCATGTTCGTCTAGCCAGTGTCTGACTTTATCTCAGATGTCAGTGACTCGTAATTGATTTGAAGGAAGTTCACTTTCCCGTGCCCTAGGTAATAAAGATTACATCCATGAACTCTCTTTGTAAGTTTAACCCACCCTCAGTACCCCCTCTGTAATTTACAGACTGTGAGACAGAAGGTGTGTCCTTACTGTCTCCTGACTAGGCTGAAATAGAAAGTTATTTGATGGTGCTAGAATTTGAATTTGTGCTGAGATCATGAATGAAACTCCATATGAACTCCAGTACTCATAGCTAGCTGTGCACGACCGCTGAAGTTTCAGACCCCCTTCAGTGAAAAGTGTAAGATTTCTGCCAGAATATGAAGATTTCTGAGCAAGCTTTTTGCTTTTTTATTAGGCTTGTAATGAATGACTTGGTTGGGACGGTTACATCCATTCCACAAAAGGTTTTATTAATTTTGTTCTTTATATTTTTGTTTTTTACCTATTTGTTTATTGCTTATTTCATTAAACATATAAAGAACTCCTTTACACACACCGTTTAATTAAATACATTTTAAATAGCCAGATGCAGGAACTATTAACTGATCCTTTCTAGACAACATTATACAGCATTCATTACTGGCATATTAGAAACACTCATGTGCAGCAATGTATGACTAGTAAAACAGATACACTTACGTACATACTGTACATATGTGTACCTGTATGATGTTCATTGAAAATCAGACTTCCTGGGATGTGATCAAATGCTATCCAAGATGCCCCGGTGCTTTTCTGCTTGTACACTTTTACAGATACATTGTACCTGTTCATAGTGTGTGTCTGCTGGTGAATTTAATCAAACATGGTACTTGACGTGAACATGAGGTCCAACTTTGAATGTTCAGGAAACATTGTCAATGGAATTAGATTTGAGGTGAAATGATTGCATAGCAGGGCGTGTTTCCTTGATAGATGGTATTCAGACAGCATTGCTGAATGTGGTATATCAATACAAAGATCAGGATTGAATTGGAGCAATGGAACAACCAATAAGCTACGTGTAACTCCCTGGTAATGTACACATACTGGGAACATTGTACAGATCAAAGAAGAAATTGAACAAGTTCTGCCGTACCATCTAAAGTTGACTATCATTAAGGATAGAGTGCATTGATAGTTACATGGCAATAGATACAAAACTTTATGACCACTGTTCATGACAGGTTTCTACATGTAAACAGAGTGAGGAAGTCTAAAAATGATCTCTGAAGTGCAGACAAGTAAATAAATGCACTTAGCATGCTTTCCTGTGGGAAGGCTATTGACTTCCTAATAGATTTAGCCACTGTAATCACTCTACATCCAGTCTAGCTATGTTGACATTTGGCCCAACCTACATTTTAATGCATTCTGCCCTGATCAAAATGTCAGACCCTGGCTTTTTTATTATAAACAGTTTATGAGATTTCTGCAGCCATACATGTAAAATGTAGGGTGTATATCTCAGTTTAGGTCAAGCCTGTTTTTCGAATACCCCGACTGGATTTTAAAGAGATCACAGAGGCCAAATCTATAAGGAAGTCAATTCACTTCCCACAGGAAACCAAGCTATGTGTAAGCGCATTTATATGCTAGATGGATTATTTGTCTAACCATCAGAGACAATTTGTGATTTCCTGACTATATACATGTAGCAACAGGTCTCAATTCTGCATCAAATACATACATGTCCATGTACTGTCCACTGAAAAACTAGTATGCATACCCACCATCATGAGCGTCAAACACCTCATTTCGATGTAGAGGAATGCTAGACCTGACTTCCTGAAGACGTGTTGTTTGTTTTGTGGTCTGCCAATGTGTTTGTCTGATGAGGACAACCTAATGACAGGATTGGAATCCACAACATCCTTCCTAGGACATTTGCATACATGTAGCTTGTATAGACCATGAATGTCCAGACAGAGGCTACAAGACTTAACAGTGCTTCTCATCACCATTAAGCTAAGAAATTCGGAAATCACAACTTGTGCAACTTGGGTATTTCGTTTGTAAATATTTGATTGTCTCCCCCCTTGTCCTGGATCCTAAGGAGATAGCTTACCTCTGATAGGGCCTTATCCTTGGTGAATAAGGTATGGTGTACACTGATTACATCAAGTTTCATCAAAGGTCTACTTAACCGAGGAGTGATATATATACCATACAAATGTTACATTATGCCACTTGATGTATTTGCCTTCAAGATGCCACATGTCAACTTGACATAGAATGCATTCATGATTTACGGTGATTCACCCATTTATTGTGGTGCAACACAGGCATGTGAAAGTCTCATAAATCATCACCACATCAACATACAAAAAATGGAGTTTGTACAAACATGTCCACAGATAATAAAAAAGAAAATGTGAAGTCCTTGTGTAAAGTGTGTTGTTACTTTTTACCACATCATGGGATGAAACATCTCCCTGGTAGCCTCAGGGTCACTGCCACGTGTGAACCAATTTGTTAGTGTAAAAATGAAACATTATACATGACTTCCATTGTTTACAGTGGTTTAGGTACACTTACTTCAGGGTTTTTTTTACCCTCACCCCCCATCCACACCTGCATACTTTTTAGGTCTTTCCTAAATTTTATTTAACAGAGTTTCTGTATTGTTTCTGTTTGTAGAAGCACCAAGTCATGAACCCAATGTTGCACCAAGTGGCACTCTGAGTGATGCACAGACTGATGTACAGGTTGACACACATCATGATACAAGTCTTAACACACCCAGCACTTCTCACACTAACCCCACTGCTAATGCAACCACTAGCACTACCTTAAATACCTCAAGTGATACAGCAGCCAACGTACTCAGCGATGAGGCACCAATGGAATCACCAGCCTTGTCTGTTGATAAAGAGACACCAGTCTATCCACCCCAGGCAGCATATGACCAACTAATCCAAGGCCTCCAAGATGCCAGAGCTGCACAAACAGCTGCAGGTTTGTGTTGTCAAAGGATGTAACATGCATGCACACAATGAGAATCAACTGTGAAATATTGCAGTTAAGATTGAGAATAAATACTTTCCAGAGACCTAAAACTCCTGAATTTGGAGGAACATGACTTCAAAGGGGAACAAAATGCAAAGTGTTGTCAAACTCTCCTAGAAGACAAAGTTAATATATTTCCTCTTAAATTACAGTTTTGGGATGATGCATTCAGAGATGCACAGCAATTTTCTTATTGATTTACCTTGATTCCTGAATTTGAGGAGAAAAGCTAAAATGAAAATTACCAAACAAGTAAGAGGCATAGTTGTAATCTATTCACATCACAGTTTCAGATCCTTTTCGTTCAACCAAAACCAATTTTATAAAAGAAATGATTCACAAAATTTGGAGAGCAGTGCAAATTTATACAGCAGTTGGGGAGGGGAGTTTTATGTATAAGCATTTGACTCAAGGTCCTTGATGTTAAATGGGGGGAGAATTACCCTCTTTCACCAGAGCAACCCCAGGGAATACTGCCAATAATCCATGTGATGATCAAGATCATGGATCTTCATCTTCAAATCTTCATTTGGACCTGAGACAGATCTCTGACCCAGGCCATACTGGTGAATGGTGACAGTATCTAACCACTAATTCTTCTCTTTCCCATCTTTGCCATTTTTGTCTTCATTCCCATTCTGTATCAAGGGAGGTCATTTTCCTCTTGGGATTCTGCCCATTCTTAAAATACTTTAGGAAAATCAGAACTGTCCTCTTGAAGTATTTTAACAGAGCAAGTTCCAAGCCCTTTGGGCATCCCTTGGCCTGTCATAGACTCGTCAAAGTAGGCTGTTGCTATTGTAATTATGGCTGACAGCTTGCAGTTGGTAGCCCTGTAGAGAGGTTAACTGGTACCATGTGTTGGCTCATGCTATCCCCACTGGATGCCTCTTGCTGTGTGTGGTAGTGGTTATTGGAAATAGCCTCTTCATTGAAATGCAATCCCAACATGCAGTTGTTGATTTTTTCACTTACATAATATCATTTCAATTAACCTTTGCTTGTGAAGTTGCAAATGAATTGGGTTGATTCTGTCATATAGTAGTTACAGGCATATCATGTACATGTATGGGTCTTGAAATGACACTACTTTTGGAGTTAGGAAATAAGCCAAAGTCTGTTCATTTTTGAAGTGAATTTCTGCACACACGTTGATAAATGACTATTACTTAGTTCTTTTCTCTCTTTTCATCAGGCTGAGTAATCTTTGACATGTTGCCTTAACACAATATAGTTGTAAATGATTGTGTGTTACAGCTGCAAAAACCTTGGGTGTTCCCACATTTAGCTGTTCCTAAACATTGACATGTATGCGCTTGCCAGCATATAATTGTGGTTAGCTAATTACAGTGTTGCTTTGTGTTCCCAAGGTTGTCTTCCTTCCTGTCCTAAACAAAGAGCCCTTTTGCACTTTTTGTTGGTGGAGCTTACAAGGTCTGATTCTTTTTTTAACCAGAAGAATGTGTGGGGAGTATGTGTGATTGTTCTGCAAAGTTGATCTAGGAAATGACCTGGAATGGGAAATTTTCTCACAGCCGTAATACCTTGAAACTAGTTTTAGCCAAAACCAAACTTGGGATGGAGTTTGAAAGGATGAATGGAAAAGAAGTTGTTGGACTGATTCTGTACTTCATAAATATGCTATAAACTTTTGAGACTTCTTTGATTTTTAGAAAAGTTGGGTGAAAATTAGAAAAAAATATGTTAAAGAAATGCCTTTAAGACTCCCTCTTCAAGTCTATGCGTTGAATGACTTGATAATAAATTACTTGAACGTGTTCATTTGAAATGAGTTTGAAACTTGCTGCATGCAGGTAATAGCAGGTAGTAGTTTTGTTTTTGAAGACATTGACTGAAATATGTCCAGGTATGAGATCCTCATTCCATGTTAGTTGTGCAGAAGTTATCATACTAAGAGTCAGTTACTAATCACTTATGATACTGTAGATACATGTACATGTACCTTCATGTGGCTCATCACTGACGCTGTAACCTTTTCTTTACAATAGAGCCTGGGATACTAGACCAGGACCTCAGCTTGTCGGTCCTGACCCTACAGGAAGAACGGATCCTTGAGCTAGAAAGGATTGTGGAAGAGATGAGTAGCATGATGGGCATGCTGAAATCTCAGGTACAGAATATTCACTAAAATAATACCAACACCCTAACTATTTATACCTAATCGATTAATGTCAATTGATTTTGTGTTACAAGGAAGTTGACCATGCTTTACCCTCTATTGATGTAATTTGTCCAGTTTGTGAGAGAAAATTCTCCAGATTGGGTGTGCTGACTGGTTTGTTTGCCTCGGTGAGCTGCACTTCCAAAAATGTCTTTTCTTTTAAAATGTATGGTTTTGCAGAATTTTAAAAAATTGAAACTTCAGAAAATCACAGTCACGGCCAAAACTATTTTGCATAAATGTTTGAATGTATGTCCTTTTGTTTGGGACCTGTACCAGGTGTCATCGATGGAAATTCGTCTTGCCAAGCGAGAGATGTGTGAGTGTCGTCAGATGTCTTGCATCTATGATAACCAGGAGTACCAGGAAGGCCAGGCTTGGCAACCAGACCCTTGCACTGTCTGCTATTGTCAGGTCACCAACCATTGACAATCTTATAAGGGAATAAATATGTGCTTGGCCAGTCTTAAACATGCCTTTAAGACCAGCTCAGGAGAATTTGGTGAAGGCATTATCAGCATTCACTCTCCAGAGCAAGGTCTTAAATGTTACCGTAAGACCGGCTAAGCACATATTTATTCCCATTCATAAATACCTTTTTATTCAGAGAGTCAAAAGAAGTCAAAATATGAAGGATTTCCCACAATTTTGTTCTAAAACCCTACTTTTATTTTCCTGAACACCCCTGTCCATTTTATGGTATATTCCTTTTGAAAGTTGTCTAATAGAATCCCCTTTAATGAACTTGGCGTGCACGTGGTGCGTCACATGCACACAGACTCCTGACCAATCAGACCCGATTAAACTGTCTCGTATCCATGTGCCAGCGCTTGATTTACGCAGTTTCTCAGTGGGCATTATCAAATGTTAATACACGGTCATATGATGCGTTTCAACCAATAGGAATAGAAAAACTGTCCCACGTATTTGTTAATATCATTTAAAGGCAGAGAACATGATTTTTAAATTTCCCCCCCCAAAATGGGTTCGCCCAGACAGATGATCCTTGGAAACTGCAATTTTAAATACAACCAGCATAACAAAATATGTGTGAGATTTTGTGTAGCTGTTAGAGGAGTCTATATCAACAGGTAAAAATAAAACCTACCAATGCACTTTCAGTGCACCCAAACACATTTTAACTGATAAGTTAGATATACAACTATAGTTCATGGGCTAAAGGAGAATTTTGATTGGTTTGAAATTAAAGATTCTCTATTTTGGGGGTCTCCATCGACAGAGCCTTGGGCGACCGGGAGACAGGTCCATTTGGAGGCAGTCCACTGCGATGCGCCAAAGCTATCTAGTGCACTAGAGAATCACTGCTAGGCAGATTGGCGTTCGGGCACTTGCTTCACCCTAACAGATGGACTTTGCCATTGAAACTAATCTACAGTGCTGTCAATTTTCCAGCGTGTTCCGGCCAGACGATCTTCTGCAGAGACGTCGCGCCAACTGTTCGTGATTCTTGTCAGTCAGCCAACTGAAGAGAATGAGCTGCCTGCGCATGGGCCTTTTATACCCACGCACCAGTCACAGGGCGCTAACAAGGCCAGCGTTCTAAATCGCACGAAGATGTCGGGGCACAAGACTCCTTTACTATACATATTACTCAGCTATACTCCATCGAAAAAAAGGGTTAAGCAAGTTTGACAGCTTGTAGACATCATTTTATACCAAATAAAAAACTTTTTGCTTTGCTGACGCGCAGGTCTACAGCGACACACACTCTGACGAGAAACCAGAGGCTTTTGGGGGGCTTTATATGCATGTGTTTATAGTGCCTTGTGGGATACCAGAACAATGGGAAGGAACATTCATTGTCCTTATGGGGTACTTAAATGGCACCCCACGAGAATTTCACAAATAGGTTTTAGTAATTTACCGAAAAAGAAGGAATTCCGGTCCCAAGGCATACTTATTCGCCACAAATTAAAGCATTTTACATATGCGGCATTTGGTCAAAATATCAACCCAGGAAAGATAGTCCAGTTGAAATAGGAGCCGTTTGGAAACACATTTCACACACTAATTTTTTGTTTGTACACAAGAACAGAGGAAATACCCTTAAAATATCAATTTAAGGGTGAGTTTGTATACACATTCAAATCATGGACCTATAACAATAGGGGACAATAGGGTCCACGGTTGCTGAAGAGTCCACGGTTGGAAAACGTGTACAAAACATATGGGAGGTCTTCCGAAAATGTTGAAGTATGAACAAAAGAGGAACAATAGGGAGTCCACGATTGAAGGCATTTACACACTTGTGTGTGTGAGTGTGTTATGTGCCTGCCAGAGATCATCTTATAGTAGCCATATAACTGCTTACCATTGCAAGCAGCCATAAATGTTCAAAAATTGTGATTAAGTATTCCCTCTTACTGGTGTGAATTTGCAGTGAGAATTGTGTCCAATCAGACTAAGTCAACATAAATTTCTCTCAGTATCTGCACTGAACCAAATGTTTGTAATACTTTCTCTTTGCCTCCAACTTACAGCAAGGACAGCCACTGTGTTCTTTCCAGAATGACCGGCCGGAATGCCAAAACCCCTGTACGTCCAATCCCTGCATGAACAGTGGAACATGCCTGAGTCTCCCTGGCAACGGCAACTACTCCTGTTTGTGTCCACCTGGTTGTGGGGGTGACCACTGCCAGCACATGAAAAATGTCTGTGCTTCACCTCCAAAGACCGATGGGTGTGAACAGCGAGGGGTCATGTACTACTTTGATATGTTTGCACAGAGATGCGAAATTAATTATGCAGGTGAGAATAGAAGCAACTAATTGTCTGCCTCCGATAGTTTTGTTTTCAAAAGCTTTTAGAAAATTATGAAGCATCGGTCTACAAATGCAAGCCACCTGTGATGTGAGGCTACAAAAAACTAAGGACAGAGATAAATTAAAAGCTACAACATGCAAAATTGAGCAGCTCTGAGTGGCATGTGAGGAATATTACATCTGATCACAATGAGCTAAAGGATAGTCTGGTGCAACAATCAAACACTGTTCGTTCAGTGTGCCTAGTATCACTCTATACTTCAAAGAATCCAAATTACTGATATGTAGCATCATGTGCCAGGCACATTGTAAACAGTGGTTGCCCCCAAAGTTCATGCACACAGCCCTCATAGACTGATCCAAGGGGTCACCAGTTACTACTGTGGCACTGCTTGCACTTGTGCTTTCTTAAACTTGAAGCCTGTGAAACTTACAGCACCCTATTTATGGGAGAGGTATTTACTCTATACATGAATTTACATCGGGTGTAAGAGCGCAGTTGTACCACCGTAATTCTGGTCCTCAGATAAGCCTATGGGAATTCAACTCAAGTACCTGAATGTCTAATGTATTGTTCACAATGAAAAGATTGACTGCTGATTGAATTGTTCTTCTAATGCCCGATACAGTCGTTTCATATGATTTATCAACAGCCAAGGGTGTCCGCTCTTACTTTTGTAATGATGCTGTGTCACCACGTTCTTGGTATCAAGGGAACATGTAGCGTAGTGGTTGGGGTTGGTACTGTAACTTCTGATTATAGGGGATTGATTCGTATTGTGACCTTGGGCAAGTCACTTTATTCCCACTTTCCTCTCTCCATCTGAGAGTACATATGGGTACCTGTGAGATAGTTGTTACATTTGATTAGCTGTTTGTGCTGAAAATGGCAGCATCACACTCACGTTCCTCAAAATGCTGAGATGACTGAGTGAAGGGGTTCAGTAGTATTTAGTGCCTTGATCTACCAGAAGTGTCAAGGATTTATGCATTTAAAAATCATTATTATCAGTGGCATTGGTGCATGAGTTTGTCATTTGTAGCATATGAAAGTTTGTTGAAAATCAGGTATGCAAGACGTTTTGTTTTGATACTCATGCAGGTTGTCTGGTGGATGGGAACAGCTTTGCCACTCAGCAAGCATGTGAAGATCACTGCATGGTTGGAGCTTGTTGTTATCGAACATACATGCGTGGATCGGCTGGCCAGGAATACTTGGATTTTACTCAACTCCTTCCCGGGCATAATTGTGAGGTAAGACTGTCCGACATTACATTTTCTTCCGCTGCCATTTTCCTTTCAAGAATTTCAAAAGTGTGAAAAGAAATGTCTTTGGACATGAAAGTTATATTTTAGTCAGGGTAGTTTTTGGTAATGCGTTATACGTGTGGCTCTGATAGATTTTGCCTCATTGCCTCATAAACTCAAGGTTGTCACTGTATTTGTTGTTATTTGCATAACACTGTCTATTACTTACTGTATACAGATGGACAGCTAGGACTTGATGGATCAATAGGTCACATTGATGGGTTAACAAGCCCTGAATATTTATTAATAGCTTGCCTTTATACAGCTACATCAGCAATGCTTCAAGTAGATGTAGCTCATGGAAGCCTGTATGGCCACTGTTAGGAGAATGTTAGGTTGACCATTGACCTGCAGTGCAGACTCAAATCTGACCTTCATGTGGGCTCTTAAATACTTACTGAAATTACTCGACAGACATTTCTGCCTATCTTTGGATTGGTCAGACGCTAATTTAACCATTGCCTCCTTATAAATGAAATTGAATCGTAAACTTTCTCATAGTAAAATGACAAGGTACCACAATTACCTTTACAAAGTTGGACCACACAAGTTCTGACCCTTGATGGTCATGCGTTCAAATTTGCGTGATATTTCTTATGTATTTTTTGTAAACTGAGCCAATTTAGCAAACCAATATCTACAATACCCGGCTGTAGCACATGGAGATTTGAAAGTTCCACTCATGCTCAAACTTCATGGACTAGTTGGAGTCTCTGTGTGTGTACAAACACAATGCGCAATGGGAATCACTCACAGTAGGATGAGTATAGATCTCACCATGTATTCACATAATTCACCAGAACATGTTGAAATGGTCTCAATCTTATGGTTACAGGAAATCCCTGCAGCATGTGTACACATCATCCAGGGTGAAGTGGTTAATAGGTGTTTTAATAGTCATTTCAAAATGACTGCACAAGTTAATTTAGCTGAAAGGACAGAATTTAGCAGTAAAGCTATTGCAGTGATAAACGATCAATGATTTTATCAGTGACCATTTGTTGGATGTATTTTGCACTTACAGACATTAGCCATGGGACAATGTCGCCAGCTGAACATCTTCACCCCATCTGCCAACCAAAGGCATGAGGTCACTGGGTTCCACCCAGGGAGGTTGTGTGATGAAGTATCATGTGACTTGCCTGATGGCTGTGTGTTTATGGATTCTACCTATGCTATTGGGCAGAGTTTCCGGACACATTGTCAGGAGTGTAGGTGCATGCCTGAAGGCAGGCTGAATTGCAGGTTTGTAAATCATTGGCATTCTGTCGGGAAGCATTGATTTATTGCATACTGTGTGCTGGCAAACAGTGTGTG